CCTCGGCCTCCCAAAGTGCGGGGATTACAGGCGTGAGCCACCATGCCCGCCCCTAATTTTTGTATTTTTTGTAGAGACAGGGTCTCACTATGTTGCCCAGGTTGATCTCAAACTCCTGGGCCCAAGCCATTCTCCCATCTCTGCCTCCCAAAGCACTGGGATTACAGGCGTGAGCCACCGGGAAGGTGCTGGTTTTCCAGAGCATGGCATGGTCACGCAGGGGAAGAGCACACAGCCGTCAGAGGGAAGGAGGGAGGTCTCCACACACACACACAGCTCATGTAACAGGATCCCATGTTTGTAAAAACAAAAAATGACATCCATCTATGTGTTCACACATGAAGAGGAAATGCCTGGAAGTCTTCACTATAACAATGGGTTTCTCTGGGAGTCGAATTAAAGAAGTTGGAGGTCAAGAATAGAATTTTTATTTTTCGACATATACTATTCTGCATTATTTGAATTTTTTGCAACAAGTGTGTCTTATTTTTATTATTTTGAAAACCAATTTTGTAAAGAATCCAGGCCCAAAGGAAGCAGAGAGGAAGGGCAATAGGAGGAGGGGAAGGAACGGAGTGATCAGAGGACTCAGGCACCACCTGTGAGTAGACAGGGGGCATCTGTGGCTCTCCAGCACAGGAGGGATCGAAATTGGCATCATTGCCCTTGAAAACTCAAATGTGCATGACTGAAGCATAAAGGCTTAAAACCAAAATGCATCTGTAACACCCTGGGAAAGCACAGCGCTCTGCTGGTGACAGGGTAGTTCCGTGGTGGAGGTGTCGTCCTTTCCAACTCCCAGGGGGAGCCCAGACCCAGACCCGTGAGTCCTCGCACACGTCATGAACGAGCTCCTGAACCTGTGTGGGCACCAGGGGAGTACGGGCTGGTCAGCGGTGCGACCCCGCCAACAGGCCTGTGCCATACCTGTGATCTCATGCCCTACCTGTGATCTCATGCCCTACCTACGAGCTCATGTCCTACCTGTGATCTCATGCTGCCGGAGCTCATTGTACTTGTAGGACTGCTCCAGGGGCTTGATGGATGAGTGGTAGATCTTCCGAAGCCGCTGAAGCACCGCTGGAGATAGAGAGGGCCGAGGGAAGAGCATTAGGCAGGTGCGATCCAGG